GATTTATGGGAGAAAAGACGTCTATGGGATGCTTCTAACGTTGGCTGCACCTTGGTGATAATGTGGTATGTGGTATTGCTGTACGCGCCTCTGTTATTGATGAATGTCCTCGAGTGCCGAATAGCTGGACGTGTGCCTGTGAGGTAACCAAAGGATGGCCGCGTTTGGTGCCGCTGTCGGCAAGGAAAATTGTGCTCGATTTTTTGACTCGGACGAGCAAATATGTGAGCTCGATTTGTGTGTGGGTGTGTCCTTGCGTGCGGCCATGTGCCAACGCCGTTTAAGCATCGGCGATCATGGGTTCGCGCTTCCCGTGTGCATACGAAGAGAGCTGTTTGGGTGGAATCAACTACCTTTCCTTCAAGACTACGATCCATGGGAGAAACGTGGGCAATTGAAAGGGGAGGGATCTGTCGAGCAAGGGGGGTGATTGCGAATGCTCGTACTCGACAGAGTGGAAGCATCAGCGCGTGGGCGGCAGTGTCTTGGCTCGCCAGGCGGTGTGCTTGTGTGATTGGCATACCATTGCTTGGGCGCGGACCACCGCGCCTATCGCTAGTGCAAAACGGGCCGAACTACACGGTTTCGAAATCGCGTACCGTGTAACACGATTGAAAATCGTGCAAACTGGTGTTGAATCATGTCAAATCGTGTATCTATCGATCGTGTGTTTATCGTATAGAACGGGACCAAACCGTGTAGTAACGATTGAGTGAGCGTGCATAACTTTTACACAATTTGACGCGGTCTGACGCGATTTGTACGGGCGTGGAAACCTTGCACTTTGCCCGACCTTTTACTCGTGCATCTTTTCAGGCGATGTGCCTGTGTGTGATGGGTGGTGCATTGTGCCGGCGCTGGCAACCGCGCCTGTCTTGACAGCTGGCGCGTCTGTGTATGATTGGTGATTCAACGTGACAAACCGCTTGCACTGGCCAGCGGAAGGCTTGTTATTTACATTTACATTTCCCCATTTATGTTGCGTTTAGGTTTTCATGCGTGACAACGTAAATTTGCGGAAGGGGATATTTTTGCGGTTGCCTTTTACGTTTCTACGGACAGCAGGTTGCAGGGTGAAGATTGCATACCATGATCAGTCATCCGCCCCCTGAAGCGTATGGGACACAACGGCCACCTCGCCCTCAGCAAGGGCAGCTACGTAGTTCGGCTCAATTAAAAGTTCGTCTTCTGCCGGCTCCAGCGCATCTGGCTTCCGGCTTCCATTCGAATGGAAGGATCGTAGGGGAATTACCCGGACTCCTTATACCTGCATGTGTGTCGCGATGTACACCGGGCTGTACTTATGCTGTGTTTAGGTATTTTATGCCTTTTATGCGTAAAAACGTAGAAATTATTTTTGCGTGTAAGAACGTAAATAGGTAAAATTGTATGGCATAAGCAATAAGGCTGGCCATTGGCATCCGCATGGAGCAAAGGGTGGAGGGCAAGCTTGGGGATGCGACCACGTCAGTGGCGTTGGCAGCCACTTGGGCATGACTGATGGCCTGGCACTGCCCCCCTAGTTCCAAAAGGTGGGTGAACGACGGAGTGGAGGGTGTGGCATCGGGTATGTATCTGATAAGATGGCACCTATACAATATGTAGACGCCATGGTGACACCAACGTCAACGCACTGTGGTTGCAGAATCCTCGGAGTCCGAGGTCGGAGCGCCTCTGATGCATGACCGACGGCATCCGACGTCGGACTCTGACATTTGTCTCCCCCCGATGCATCTCCGATGCCCCTCCGACGCCAGATTCTCTTACTAGGGCCCCGGTTTAGGTCCCCATTTCCGCTGTTGGTTGGGTGCCTCCTCGCGCTGTGGCCTCGGAGCCCCTTTCTACTGCACACGCACCCATCTTCGATCGCCGGGGACTGTCGCCATGCCTTGACGCCATCCAGCACGCAAGATTGGGGCCCGGCATCAGAGGGAGATTGAGCCGAGCGGCGCCGTTTAGCACGTGTCACTGGTAAAAAGCCGGCCAAAGTACACGGTCATGAAATTCGTGTGCTGTGTTACGCATGTCAAAATTGTGTAAAAATCGTGTGAACATCGTGTACCGATCGTGTAAATACGCATTTGCCGCTGGCACACTGTTGAAATCGTGTAAAACCGTGTGCTTTGTCGTGTTGTCCATGGTGGTAAGGTGGACCACTTTCGTGTACTGCACAGGGTTGAAAACTACACGATTTTAGCGATCGTGTAAAACCGTGCTCTGGAGCACCCGATCTGTACACGATTTTAACACGATTATGTACAAATTTACACCGTGTAAAACGGTCGAATTTTTACCAGTGTGTGGCGAACAGAGATGGACGGCCGCCCCACTTTGCAGTGGATACCACGCTCATGGCTACAGAGCAACGCACGCAAGCGGGTTCCACACTTGCATTGTGCTGGATCTTGCTCGAATCGGAGAATATGGCTGGAGACGAACGCAGAGCTCTCCGCCTATGAACTAGCCCAGAAGATTGCAAAGGCCAACGGCTTTGTTGCAAAGTTGGCGAGCGAGTCGATTGGGGGGGTGTCGCAACGTTTCAAAAGTTTGTCTGGTTAGTCCCGATGGCGGGCTTTGGCCAGCAAAGTGAATTTTCTGGTTGCATTCGTTCAGAGGGTTTGGGTTCGCAGCGAGCGGCGACCTGCCCACGTTGTGGGATAGGACAGAAGGGATGGGGTTTCGTAGGCTCAAAAGCGAGATGCCGATAATGGAGGGCTGCGGTTGGTCGCAGTCTTTCAGCACCGGACATGCATCGCGATCGATCGGATGCTTTGCGCCTCTCCCCAGGGCCAGTCTGCAAAAGTTGCCAAAGTCGCTCCTGGCGCACAGTCATTGCTGCGGCCCAGCGAATCGCCAGCAGAAAAAGGACCAGATAGCAATTTCAGCGTTCTGCATGCTAAAAACAGAAAGTAACGCAAATCCGTAAACTTTGTACACGTTTGTTCAAACGTGTTGGACACGTGTTGCTTGGTCTTTTTTCCTGGTGACTTGGGCATGTTGCCTTGTAGCCCTTGGGGTGCACTTCGTGCAGATCTGGATTTGTCATGAATTGCTATTTGAAAATTGAGATGCCCAATTGGGGTGCACTTTGTGCAGATCTGGATTTGTCATGAATTTCTATTTGAAATTTGAGATGCCCAATTCAAACTCAGGTCGCCGCGCACGCGCCGGCCTTGTCAACTCCGCCTTCAGCCTGCAGCAACACTGGTGCTGTGCAAGCGCCGCAGCCGCAGTAGGTGCTTCCCATGCAGGCACGGGGAGGGCTGCGTCGGCAGCGCCTTGGCCTCCATCCAGCGGGGGATCGTCGTCACCAGAGTAGGACAAGCCAGGCCACGCCTGAAGGTGCGCTTCATTGCAAGGTCAAGATCTGATCGTGTGTGCTGCGTTGTAGGGCCACTGAATGCACGTGTGTGTGCGCGCGTGTGTGCAGGGCAACTCATGTGCCTATGTATTTTTCCTGTGTGTGTTTGTGTGCGGTTCACAGGACATAGCCGAAGATCGAATTTTCTTTTGTGGTTGCATGTCCAGGCTGTCAGGGGCCATCCGGAATGCCAGCGTCTCGTCCTCCACCCAACACACCACAGCAGGCCCTGTGCCTTCCTGCACACGACGTGCAGCCAAGCCATCAGCCAAACTCCAGCCAACACAGACGCGGAAAAAAATCGCTGAGCGGGTAAGCGACCGAGCACAGCCACGCACTTTGAACAAAGAAAGAGGCACTTGCACGCAGCTGCGCATGCAGTGGAGGAGCCCATGGCCCTCCGTGCACGACCCCATCCCAGCCCGTGAGGCGCAGCGCGTCGGCCAGAACGCCAGGACGTGGTCCCGGAGGGCAGCAAAACACCTTGGCAACTCAATCGGGCCACCATGCGCTGCATTGGTCGCCGACGCCAGGAGCCGCTCCTTATGCACCAACCCACCCCACTAGAGCTCATCGCAAGCGTTGAGCTGGCAACTCCAATCGGGGTTCGGAACACCGCCCGGCATCCACGGCGTCCGGCGTCGGACAGGGCATTCCAATGCCGCACGCCGATATCGAGAGCTCGAAGACTGTCGCCTGGTCCGATGCATGGCATAAAATTACTGGCTGCACCAAATCGGTGACTGCTTGCACCAAGTCACGTGCACATCATGTCCAGCTCCGTCCAAACTAACCTAACCTAAAACCTAAAACATAAAACCTAAACCCTAAACCCTAAACCTAAACCTGTCCTAACCCCAACCCTAACCCTAAAACTCACCCTGAAACTAAACCTAACCCTAAAATTGAGGTTAGGACAAAGTGTGCACGTGACTTGGTGCAAGCAGTCACCGATTTGGTGCAGGCAGTAATATTATTTCCCGATGCATGGGACTCGCATCGTCCGAAGATTCTGTTACCACAGTGGCGTCGATGGCGCGCTGATGCACGCCTGGTCGACTTCACATAGTCCAACCCCATGCTGACAACGCCATTGGTCGCCATATCGGCACCGTTGCATGAGCCTGACGCGGTCAAGCAGCCGGGGACAGACGGCCGCCTCTCGAGGATTCGAGGATTTGTCGAGCAACCGGCCTCGCAAAGGACGCCCGGCAGCGGCCCAACCGTGCATTTTCTGCCCAAGACACGGTCCATCAAGTCGCATAACCGGGGTGCCAGACCGATTCCGTTTCCGGGCGGACATCGCTCTGACGTCAACACACCGCCGACTGTGCTTTGCGCACATGTGTCACCCGGCACTCATTCATGCATCAGTGCCTCACCTTACTCTCAAAAGACATATCCTCTGGTTCGCGCGACCCATGCCGCGGGCTCCAGGGTGGTGGCGAGGCCCTCTCCGTGCGTGCGCACGCACAGAAGAGGTCCGACGCGGAGGTGGGCACTAACGGCACAGACACGCGCCTCTGGCGCCCTGGCTTGGCCTTGGGGCCCCACCATTTTGTGAAGGGCGCCCAGGGACCTGAGGTTGCGCAACCTTAGCCTCGGGGGGTTCTGGGAAGAGAAGGAGAGGAGAGAGGAGATGGAGAATCTGCTGGTCGCGGCGCGGCTGAGCTTCGCGTCGCCGGAGCTAGAGGCCCGCTTCTGCGACCACCGCACGACTACCTACTTCTTCGCGGTGGACAGGTGGGCTGCGCCGATCCCCACCTCCCCGTTCCGATCGGGCTAAGGGCGGGGTCGACGGATCGACGGGTTTGCGGGTCGCGCATTTTGCTGGTTGTTAGACGGGTCGTGCAATTGGCTGGCTGTTTCGGTGGTCAGCTCTCGTGCATCGTTGTTTGTTTGACGGGCAATGGACGGGTGGCCGGCGCCAATCGCCCCCCTCCCCGTTCCGACCGGGCTTTGGGCGGGCTCGACGGATGAACGGGGTCGCGGGTCGTGCAATTATCCGCTTGTTTGATTGTCAACGCCCGGGCATCGTCGCGCGTTGGCTTCGCCGTGGACGGGCGGGCGCCGAAGTCTGGCCGTTCCGAGGAGCTGGTCCAACCCAACAGGGCGGCGCCAACGGCGTCAACGGCGGTGCATTGCTTTGCCGGCCGTTTCGAACGCCATCCCTGGCGCATCGTCGCGTGCCCGACGGACAGCGGCCGTGCATCGCGGTGCCGGTGACGGGCGTCGCTCGTCCATCGCGCGTTTGAATGCGACGCGCACGTGAATGCCATCGGTTGGGCGTCGTCGCATTCTTGACGGTCGGCGGCCGCGCATCGCGGTCCTGGCGACGGTCGGGGCTCGTGCACCCCGTGCGCTGGCTCCGCAACGGTCGCGCATTGTTAGACGGCCAACGCTTGTGCACCTCTGTTCGCTTAATGGCCAACGGGGTCGTGCATTCGCGGCGGCTCTTTGAACCGCCACGCTCGTTGCTTTGAAGATCAACGGCAACGCATCGCCCTCTCGGCGACGGTGCACGCTCGTGCATCTCTGTTCGCTGGACGGTCAACGGGGTCGTGCATTCGCGTTGGCTGTTTGACCCTCAACGCCCGTGCTTCTCTTAGTTTGATGGTCAATGGCCACGCATCTCTGTTCGCCTGTTCGTCAACACGGTCTTGCATTCATTGCGCCCTTTTCCCCGCGGCCTCCTTAGGCAATCCGCTGCGCACCCTGCCGCCGTCGCCTTCTGCCGGCGGCCGCTCAAGCGCGAGACGGGTCCTCCCGCGCTGCCCTTCATGGTCACGGGCTTGGCCGATCTTTCACGACCCTGTCGGCGCTGGTGCCGGTGCTGTGCCTTATTCCCACTTCCGTGCCCTTGAGAGCGCTGTTCCTGATTCTTATCACCGCCCGTGCACTCATGCTGTGCTTCTTCTTTCCTTTTGCTTCTCCTCGAACAGTTACTCCGCGGTGTACCGGGCCGCCATACCGACAGTCATCTTCTGCCAACGGCTGCTGAAGCGCGAGGCAGACTCCCCCGTGCTGCCTCTTCTGGTCGTGGGCCTGACCGCCCTTTTCCTGAACCTGTCGGTGCTGATGGCGGCGTTCCCGAGGCCCTGGACGATCAGGTGGCGCGAGCCGGTCACGGCGTTCTTGAGAGGTGAACAGGCGGGGGTTTTGTCAACAAAAGGAAAAAGATTTGTTTACAGCGAAAAAAAGAGTTGTTACAAGACACTGAAATAGGATCCTGTGCTGATGGCCACATTCCCGCAGAAGAAGAAGATTTCCTACGAATGGTGTTATGACAAAAGCGTGCATGTCAGCTTCCCTGGTGTACCCACAGTACATGACCCATCAGAAAGTATCATGGCCACGTCCAGGGCCGCCCATGTGTCACCCCATGCCCCCACAATCTCAGCAGACGGCTCTGTGGAAAGAAAAACAGGGTCCTTTCTGTGCTGATGGCTGTGTTACTGAGGCCTTCGTGGATCAGATGGCATGAGCCCCTCAGGGCGTGCTTGAGAGGTGGGCCGATCAGCGGGCCAAGATCTGTTGCAAGAACAAATCGTGTCTTTGTGACTTGTTGTCTTTGCTCAAAAAGAAAGAGAAATTGGTCATACGGTAGGCTTGGGGGCGCTGCTCATGGTTCTGCTTGTGCTGATGGTGACATTCTTGAAGCTGTGGATGATCAAATGGCGTGAGCAGGTCACAGTGTTTCTCAAAGGTGGGTCAGCAAGGGCCATGATTACTAACAGAAGAGAAACACATCATGTTGCAAAAAATCACTGTTACAAGGAGACAGAGGTATGGGTCATGCAAAGGGGTGCTCCCTCTCGAGCACGTGTGCGTGGGACTCTTCTCCGTACTGTATGTGATGATTTAGAGATTCAAGAGGGGTTGGGGGTAAGAATTGTGGCAGAAACGAAAGAGAAAGAGGCCATACAGAGGGGTTGCTCCCTCCTAAACAAGTGTTTGTAAGACTCCATGCTCCATTGCTTTCCATACTGTGCAAGATGATGTAGAGTTTAAAGGAGAGGGTGGGGGAGTGGATTAGGGTTTGCTTGAAAAAGAAGCAGGTCATACAAAGGGTGCCAGGCATGTGTCCTCAGCGAATGGATGGCCTTGCAGCTCGGGGGTGATTGCGGGCTTGGCGCCATCCAACGGGCATCTGCTCATTCCTGGGCCACCAGTCCTTATGGGCATGCTTGGGGAAGGGAACAGCAGAATTGTGCACGGGGTTTGGGGGTGGTGGTTGGGTGTAGATTTGTTAAAATGAAACAATAAACAGGTCATAAAGAGGGGGCGCCCCCTCCTAAGCAATTGTACGTGAATTGCTTTCCATATTGCACCAGATGATGCAAAGTTTAAACAGGAGTGGGTGGGTGGATAAGACTTGTAAAAGAAAAACAGGTCGTGCAAAAGGGGGTTGCACACTTCTGAGCAACTGTGCGTGAGATTCTTTTGGAGGGGTGGGATGGGAAGATTATCGAAAGGAAATCAGAACCTGGCAACACAAACGAGGGACGCCCTCCTGAGCAAGTGTGCACGAGGCTCTTTTCCACACAGCATAATATGATTGAGGTCTTGAGGGCGCTGGCGACATAGGCATGGCGGAAGTGTTGGATTGGGTGGGTGTAGGAGTGCGGAGTGCAGGATGGAAGGCTCGCAAATCAGGGCTGTCATTGCTGGACCTGTGGTTGCCCTGGACTTGCAAAAGCCACCGGGCCATGTGCTTGTGGCCATGTCCATGCGTTCGGCTTGGAAGATGAGCAGCAAGTCTGGCGGGCAGGAGCGAACAGGGGGGACACGAAACAAGGGCTCCAACAGGAGGTTGTCCCGTGCTGGCACCACCTCATGTTGCCATCTCCTTGAGGGAAACCAGTGGTGTCACCATCGATGGGGTCTTTGGCTGCTCTTGCCAGGGGCTTGTGGCAGCCCGCACAGGGAAAGCTTCGATGCAAGTCTTGAGCGATTTGGGCGCCAAGTCTTTGGTTCCCACAACCAAACCCCACCCCTACACACCCAGTTTGGTGGATTGCGTGTTGCCGACAGCGCAGCCCAGCCAGATCTAAGCCTTTGCATTTTACGGCTGCTGATGGGCTTGGTACCACGCAGCAGGCGTTCGCTCATTTCTGCACCACTGGTTGTTGTATCACATTCTAGTCCTCCTTCTGGCTTGGCCACTGGTCATTGTATCACATTCTGGTTCTCTTTCTGCGCCAGTAGTCACTGCCTTGCATTCTGGTTCTCCTTCTGAGATGGACACCATCGTTGTGCTGACCCCCACTTGCCTCCCCTTCTCGTGCCACAGGCACCATCGTCCCCATGACTGTGATGATGTGTTACCTGGAGGGGGACCATCTGCCGCATCCCCTCACATGGAAGCCCTACATCTTCAATGCCATCTTCTCCGCCGGCCTGACCATGACCTGCCTGTTCCCCCTGGCAATGCCTCTCCACCTCAAGCACCACATCCCGGTCCACCTGGCGGTGTGGCTTATGATCGTCAACATTCACGTGCCCCGCTTCTGCCATGCGCTGGCGGAGCGGCATGACGCGCATACCTTTGTCATGCAGAGCTGGGAGGCGTTATCAACGCGGGTGTGGGGGCTGCTGGATTCTATGTATGGCGGGGTGCCTGTGGAACCCTGCCCGCCGACTGTGGCGGTGGCCTGCAGGCACATGCACACATGCGTGCAGGTATGCTCGCTGCCGTCAAAACGGGGGTTCTCTTGTGTTTTGTGCTTATCTGCACTGGAGTTCTTTTTGATTCCAAAATAGTGCATCACATTTCAGTGTCCAGGGGCCTCTCCCGTCCTATTGCAAGATGTGTGGGCCTTGTGCCACCCAGCACTGGAGGCGTTTTTGTTTGCGTCTGTACAGCATCGCAATTTTTCTGTTCCTCCCTGGACCATGAGCATGTGTGGCCCTTGGCAGTGAGGGCAAAAGGCTGTGACTGATCATCCCATTGCCTGCTTGTTGCCATGGTGTGCAACTGCTCGCGGAGAGCTGTGCTTGCTTCACTGGCTGGGCCCTTCAGTGTGTTTGTTTCGTGCCGAGAGGTGGCCCGAGCATTCTCTTGGAGGCACGGCATTGGCGCTCACTGCACTCAGTGCCATGTACACTGGAAATCATCAACCAAACGACTGATTGGCCGATTTATGCATATTTAGGCTGCATGTACGGATGTACGGATGTAAGGATGGATGATGTGTGGATGGATCGATGACTGACTGTTAGTCAGCCAGTTTGGTTGTCTTGCTGGCTGACTAAGTGATAATCTGATTGATTTGATTCGTAATGTGTTTTGTGATCTGTCGATCTGATTTGATTTTGATTGATTTGTGGGTGGAAATGGACTGACTGGTTGACCGGTCAGCTCACTGTCTGACTTCTTGATTTTGCCTGCAGCTGGTCTTTGGACTGGTTGTGACCACGTACATGGTGTGGGTGCTGGAGTACCAGAGCCGGGCGTTCTTCCTTCAGCGGGAGATCAGGGAGGGCAGGGTCCCGGGAGGGAGGACGCGGAAGGCGTGGCCGGCCATGCCGCTCAGCGCCATCGTGTGCCATGCGGCGCTGCTGCCGATGCTGTTCGCCGTGTGCTGGGTGTGCTTGGCGCACGCTCTCTTCGCCGGAAACGATGCACAGTACTCGCAGCAGGGGTGCGAAGTGGGCTGAAGTTGTTCTTTTGTGTGGAATAACTTGAATGGAGAGTTATTCTTTGACTGGAATGACTTTTGCCTGGGATTGACTTAATTTGTTTCCTTTAGATTCTTTTAATTCATGGGTTGGTGGAAAGGTGTCGAGGAGCCGCCCTTGTTTGCGACGGTGACAGGTCGTTCCCTGCACGTGTTGACAATGGCATTGTTCCAGGAGAAGTGAAACAAGACTTGGTACTTATTGCACTGAGTTATGCCACTTTTTCCAGACGGGCATCGAATGCACAACAGAGCATTGAGCCCGCGCCAAGGAGGCGGCTGTTTGCCAAATGTACGGTTGTGCAACTAGTGCTCACTGTGCAGTATGTGGTCCCTGTTTGCCAAGGCTGGGGGCTTGTTGACAAGTGTTGAGAGATACCTGCAGACCTCGTTCAAACTGGCTTCAGTGGGTGCACCAACCATTACCGCAGTGTTGTCTCAGGTTGTTTCATGTTGCCCGCAAAAAGACGTCCATCCTTCACCCTTTTGTTGCATCGATCCTTGTGGCTGGGCTCCTCGTCAAGTGTGCACAGAGCGCCACAGAAACTGGTGCTGGGTGCTTATGTGTCTCATGTCTGACGTCGCCTTGCTGGTGCATGCCCGTGACTCTCACTTTGAGACAAACTTGAGAGCAGATTATCTCATACTAAATAGTGCTGCAAAGTAGAAACAATGAGGGGTGGGGTGGAGTCAACACATATTCCTGCTGTGAGGGTGCACAGTAATGTACCATGGGTTTTCTGGGTGTTGCAATCCATGTCAGCACACATAAACACACACACCCCAGCGAATTACAAGGTCGCGCAGAAGTAGATGGCTTGTGGCTGGGACCTCACAGGCGCAGAGGCCAGGGATTTCGGAGAAACATCTCCTGTAGGCATGGCGTGGGCCTCAGGTGCTGGGCAGAGCAAGTCACTGAGCAGGCTTCCTGGAGGAGTTCATCTGACAAAGCACTACAAAGTACTAAACTATGTGCCGAATGTTCCAGAATGGGTGTTACTGTGCTGGCCTGGCTCCCTGGAGAGCAGCCGCCCTGCCCATGGCAGGCATCCAGAAAGGCTTCCAGAGAGGGTTTGATTTTCAGCAAATTGATGAGTTTGTAAAGGACAGGAATGAAACCATCAGTTTGGGTATGCACCTTTAAGGAACCGGGAAGTTGGGAATGGACGGGAATGAACCAACAAGCTGTGAATGGACAGGAATGAAATGAGCCGGTCGGGGATGGACTAGGCTGAACCAAACAGTTGTGAATGGACATGAATGGACCAACCATTTGGACAAGGACAGTGATGAGCCAGAAAGCTCGGAATGGACAGGAACGAAGTGGTAAGTTGAGGTAAGGACAGGAATGAACTGACGAGCTGGGCATGGGCAGGAATGGAACAACAACTTGGGCTGGGCTGGGAATGAACCAGCAAGTTAGGGAATGGTAGGCGCCCTGGATGCACACACGCCCCGTTGCGGCCCACAAGGCCAGGGGCGCCACCGCAGAAAGGCTTTGTTGGATGCACGCACGCCCTTGATCGCCTATGAGGCGCCAAGGGCACCATTTGTCTTTCGAAGCCAGCTTCAGACAGAGGAGAATTGCGGGCCGGCGGCTTTGTCTTGTGAAGGCGGGCGCGAGCCAATTGGATCCTTGGATCCTTGCAGGGAGCCGGGGGCGCTGGAGGAGGTGTAGCGAACTGCCTCACGCCGGCAGCAGCCACTTGGCCCCAGCGCCAACCGCTTTTGACAAGCGATGGCTTGACGAGTGGCTTGAGCAAAGGACCGACCAGCGACTTGACCATTGGTTCGGCAAAAGAGCCGGCGATACACCACGGCCCCCACCGCCAACCCCACGACCCCCCCGAAAGACACTTAAGAACGCCGAGCCCATGCGCCTGTATGGGCGATGCATAACTCCAAGCACATTTTCCAGCCGCGCCCGGGCATCGAGGCTTCAGGCGGCCATACCCCATCCCCGACGCCAATGGGCCCTCCCACCCCGGCGCCGCAGGCGCCCCGTTGACCGCGTTGACTCCGCGTTGACCAAGCGCGGAATTTCACGCCTTGGCATACTCGCCCTGGCGAGGTTCGCGGGCTATATCACCAAATGCAGTGCGGTGCGAGGCTTTGTGCCTGATGCTTTTCCCCCGGGTGCCGGCCATTTCGTCTAAAGACAATTAGCTAGTTAGACTATAGTCTAACGGACAAGTGATCTAGGGACATTACGTCTAACAGACAACTCGTCTAAAATTCCGTTGACCCAAGTTGATTTGCTTATATTCGCATCGCACTTGCTTCCGAGGGCCCTCTCTTGTTCAACGCACACCTCTAAACCCTAAACCAGCTCACTCATATCCGCATTCCAACTCAAACCTGTGGCCGTAGGGCCGTCACTCATTCTACGCATTCCCCTAAAACCAAAAACCAACTCACTCATATACGCATTCCAACTGAAACCGTGGCATGTGGGCCCTCACTCGTGCAACACGTTACCCCAAACCCAAAAACCCAGCTCACTCATATCCGCATTCCAGCTCAAGCCGGTGGCCCAAGGGCCCTCACCTGTTCACCGCACTCCCCTAAACCCAAAAGCTAACTTCTCCATATCCCCATTCGAACTCAAGCCGGTGGCTGCAGTGCCCTCGCCCGTTCACCTTATTCCCCTAAACCCAAAAGACAAAACCCTCATACCCGCATTCCACCTCAAGGTGGTGCACAGCAATAGTATGCTATATATCACTGCCATTTGCTTGCCTCTCCCGTCGATCCACCTTCGCGGCTTGGAGAGTCTCCATGCTCCATTTCTACTAGTCGACTCTCCCTTTCGCCAGCTTCTCCCGTGGATCTAGCTTTGCACATTGGAGAATCTGCCCGCTCCATCGCTGCCAATCACGCCGACGTTCGGCTACCTCTCCCGACGATCCACATCCCCGCCCCGTAGAATCTCCGCTTTCCATAGCTGCCAATCGACGCCCCACGCAATGCCACGCTACGCCAAACTGCGCCACACCTGCCAGCCACGTGCCTGGACCGGCGCTCACTCTCCTGTGCTGTCTCACCCCCTGTGCGAGTGCCAGGAACGCCCCAAGGAACCAGTTCCGAATGCAGCCCGCCACAAGCGAAATGAAATGTAATTGAAGGTCAAATGCGGTTGATGGGCGCTGCTTAGACGAGTTGACTCAGCTCATCTAAAGAAAATCCGTCTAACGCAAAGATGGAATCAACATTGCAATTGACCTCACCATAGGGCACCTGAACACATGCAACGGCTTTGAACGAGTGGTATTCGTAACAGCGGAGTTTGCCATTGGCACACAACCAATCCATGGCTGCATTTAGCGAGGATCACTCGTTTGACAAGTTGTCCTTAGACCAATTGTCCTTAGACGACTTGTCCTTTAGACAAGTTGTCTTTAGACGAATTGGCCGGACGCCGTCCTTTTCCCCCGTCCCCGTTGTTTTCTTCATCCGTTGTTTTGCTGACCGGTGTTTTTCGCACGGCGTTTTCCGCCCGGCGTTTTATTGCCTGGATCGTTTGGCGCTCTTTCCGACGACCCTGCCCGAGATTCGACGACCCTATTCCCCTCGGACGCGGTCTGCGTGATCCAGCGCGAGTGCAACCCGCCATCCTCGGCATCGCTACGCCCACCAACTGCATAAAATTAGTCTTTAGCACAAGGAATGGATTCACAGGAGGAGGGCAATGTGGGTTATGGCGCTAAAAACTGGCCTCTGGATATTGTCTATCAACCCTGCATCCAACAGCTTAGGTAGATCCCGGTACCTGGATATACACTATGCCACAAATAGAATGAGACCAAATCACTCTGCAAAATTGAAAGCAGTGCATGCAAATTGTGGTACAGACCCTCTCATCAACTGGCCATCTCAGAAGATAGTTGTTCATGTCAAGTGGCGATGCAATGTTTTACGTCTTGACGGTGCACCGTGCGTTGATTCACGGCCAACTGCCCATCATAACAGTATTGCCTGTGCACTACATCGTCAGCATCAGGTCAACGTGGCAATCGAATTCCACATGAGCAACTTGTGATGGGTTGCATATGTAGAATATAGACGTTGTCGAACAACACAGAATGGATACTTTTCAGATAGCTTGAGAAGACCACAAAGCACGCCATCAATGAAGTGTGAGCATATGTGCCTTTGGGGGCAGCTAAAATAGTGGTGCTGCTCACCCAAGCTTGTTTCCAGTGAACATCATTACCTTTTGCACCTGGACACCGTGAGTTCATCACTTCCACATTCGATGCCTCACTGAGGCCAATGTTCTGACAGAACGTTGGGCTGGAGCTCGTGGCAAAGGTTGATGCCTCGGGTCTGCTCCTCAGTGCATCCTGCAAATCGGTTGGAATACACCTCTGTCGAGTGTGCACCTGCGAGTTGGGAGTATCTTAGCAGCCTGTGGGTGGTATCGGCAAGCACATTTTTGGACTGGCAGCCCTGGAAAGTCATGCTCACTTTCACGTTATACCAGCACGGCGAAACCAATACTTGATGCATCAAGTCAGGACTCAGAGCGCGGCAGAATACATTGGAGGACGGACAGTAAGATCTGCGCTGGTGAGCACCGTGGCACACATGGTGCTGCAACAGAAAGACTACTCGCATAGGACGGTGACAACAGATTGCTTGGAAAATAGATTGTGACACTGCCACAGGCTGAATTTTGCCCATCGATCTGTCAATGTTTCATCCGTGCCAAATTTTGCAACAGTGACATTGGTGGCATGAGTGGACGCTACTACAACAATGGAGCACCAGGCCCTTTCTGGCCAGCAAGAAACGCAAATATTCCATGGGACAGGCGCTCCGACGCCATCCTGCGCTGGTCATTTCAGCCGAATCCCCGCACCCCTCCACTGCCACCTGCCAAAAGGCACCACTGACATGCTGACAAGGGCAGGCAAGAGCTTCCAATGCCACGAACGCTCCGAAGAGAAAATGCTCCTGCCGCGGGCATCTGTCGCACACCTTCCGATGCACGCGGCCTCCCAATCGGCAAGCCGTTTCGATCGATCACCTGCAGCGCGCAACGAGCAAAGGTTCGCGTGTCAAGGATTGTGTCCTTCTGACGGAGCCTCAGCTGCAGACGGCCGACCACGTCGGTCAGCTTGCCGTTTTCCTGGTCGTGCGTCGACTTTCAGGCGACGAATCTGGTCACCCAGAACGTCGCTGTGCAACGAATCCCCAGAGCATCAATACACGCACCAAGCAGGAATAATTTTACTGCCTGCACCAAATCGGTGACTGCTTGCACTAAATCAGGAGCACACTATGTCCTAACCTCAGTTTTAGGTTCAGGTTTAGGTTTAGGTTTAGGGTGAGTTTAGGGTTAGTATCAGGGTAAGGGCAGGTTCAGGTTTAGGTTTTAAGTTAGGTAAGTTTTGGAGGGAGCTGGTGCAAGCAGTCACCGATTTAGTGCAGAAAGTCACCGATTTGGTGCAGCCAGTAATTGTATGCCCACCACGTAACCCGCCATCTGAGGAACCTCGCGATGCACACCCCGCCATCGCAGTCGCCCGCCGCTCCCCCTCCCCGCGTTTCCGCTGGCGGCCGTTCCTAATCCACGGGCCTGCGGGCCCCGCTGCCCGGCAGGGCTGCCCTCTCGGCCCCGCACCCCTCCTGACTCACCTCGCTCCGCGAGGCCCAGCCCAGTCAGGCGGCGGCGGTGCACTCGCCCCGACTGCCTCGACTGCGCTGGCGGAGCGCAGTGAGCATCGGTGCGGGCCGTAGTCAGGGAGAGTCGGTCAGAGGCAGGCCCAGTCAGTCAGAGATGCGGGCCAGGCCCCCAGTCAGAGCCCATCCAGGCATCACTTTGACTCATGTTCGTGATGCGCACGCACTCCCGAGCGAACCCGACATCACCACCCACCAATCTGCCACAAAGCCACCGACCAAACGACCCCCAGCTTTGCTTCCAAGCCCCCCTCCTCTCTCCCCCCCCGCCACCCACGCACCAAAAGGGGTGCCCAAACATGGTCAACAGCCCACTGGCTGCAGCTCTCCTGAGCTTCGAATCCCCGGCACTGGAAGCGCGTTACTGCGCCCACAGGACCGCCACCTTCTTCTTCGCGGTGGATCGATACTCGGCGGCGTACAGAGCGGGAGCGCCGCTCGTCATACTCGGTCAGAGGCTGCTGAAGCCAGAAGGGGGCGGCACGGCGCTCCAGTACTTGATGGTATCGCTGGCGTCGGCCTTCACGACCCTGTCTGTGATGATGGCGTTCTTTCCCGGCCGGTGGGCGGTCAAGTGGCGGGAGCCCGTGACGGTTTTTCTGCGAGGTGGGATGGCCAGACTTGTGTTCGTTTGCTGTTTTCTTCCGTTTGCTGTCTGTCCCGAATTGAAAGAGAAACTGGTCGTGCAAGGGGCGCCAGAAGAGAGAAAACGCGCGCCCGAGAGTCTTTTGGGGGCTGTCGACGGGGGCGGTCATACGGCCAACACCGCTCACGCTGTCCCTGCGAGGTGCCGGGATTTTGTCGCGAAAGAGGATGGTCGAGAATTGCTGCAGAGGAAAAGGAAAATGGGTCACGGAAATGGCGCCACCTCTTGAGCGAGCGCGCGAGGCTCTCTTTCGCGCCGTGACAAGATGACGTGTAGTCCCCCGTGCAAGAATAGACCGGGGGCGTGGGGGATAGTTTTGTTACAAAAGAGAAAGAGAAACATGTACACAAAGGGCATCCCTCCTAGGCAAGTGTGTGAGAGGCTCTTTTCCAGGCTGTGAAAGATGATGGAGCCCCCGGCGCGAAAAGTTGGTGGGGGCCTTGGCGTTGATGCTTGTGGTTGCCAAAATGTAAAGCCGCGTCCCGGTTGGCGCTTGGGGCCTGAGCGGAAAATTGGCACCGTGTTCGTCCGTCGTCCGTCGGGAGGCGATCGGCGTCGGTCGGACCCATTCGCTCTGGTCGGTTTGTGGGTTCCGGAGGCGAAGGGCCGCCCCGTGTTGGACTCTGGCAGAATGTGTCGTAGAGACGCATGGGAGCCGATACGGCCGGCGCGGGCCCCTTTGTCTCGGCCCAGAGCTGGGCGCTCCAGACACCGAGCCCAAGAGTTGGCCTCGCAGTTCCGTGCTGCGCCAATCCTGCCCCACAAACTCCCCCCCTTGCGCGCCCACATGTGGCTACACGTCGCCATTGAGACACGCTCTCAAAATGGCACATCCGAACTCCGACAGAGTTCTGTTGTCTGTTATCCGTTATTTGTTGGTGCCTTTCGTGCCGATTGTGCCAATTTTTCCCATTGTGCCTCTTGTGCCCAAATGTGGCAATCTGCTGTCCCAACCTACTGTGTCTTGTGCTCAGGCACGATCGTCCCCGCCACCGTGCTGACATGCTTTTTGGACTGGAACCGAATGCCGGACCCTCCCAGCTGGATTTCGTACATCTTTGTGGCCTTCCACACTTCAGGGCTGTCCATGACTTCCATTTTCCCTCTGGCTATGCCAGTGCTCGTCAAGCACCATCTGCCGCTCCATGCTGCTGTCTTCCTGCTCATGGTGAACGCACACGTTCCCAGATTCTGTTACATGATCTCCAAAAGGCCAGATTCTCATAGCTATGTCCTTGCGAGCTGGCGGGCACTTTCTTCCTGTGCTTGGAACTTTCTTAATGCCATGCAGCTCATAGACGTGAGGGAGGATACCACGCCAGAGGTTGAGGCTGCGTGTGGGCACATGTTTACTTGGCTGTACATAATGGTCGGCCTTGTGGTGCCCACATACGTGATGTGGATGCTTGAGAACCAGAGCAGGGCAGTGTTTGTTGAAAGGGAGATTGCGAGGGGCAGCTTTGTGGGGTCCCAGATGGACAGGCGGTGGCAGGCGCTGCCCGGGACAGTCGTCTTTTTCCACGCGATGGTGGTGATGTTGCTTGCGGCGGTGTGCTGGGAGGGCACTGTGGGGTACTTCATAGATAGGGGAGACAGGATGTTCGTTTAGGGCTGGATCGGTCGAAGTAAGCACGAGGAAAAAGATTATGGAAAGGGCAGCCCCTTCTAAGAGACAGAGAGGACCCACTTCTAAGGTATGTGTGGAGAATGAGCAGCGCGTCATGCAAAGGGCACCCCTTTCTAAGACTTAAATACGGGCCATGCAATGCTGAACCCCTTGTAGGAGGCAGAGTCGTGGCTTTCTAAAGAATTGTGGAAAAGAAACCGAGAAATAGATCAGGCAAAGGCATCTCATGCTAAGCAAGTGAGCCTGGACTCATCGTGCAGTGTACAGTGGTTTGAGAGGCGAGCATAGGGACCGATGGCCCAGCTAATGGTGCGGTGATGCATTGAGGGGAATGGGGCAGAAAGGGTCGATGGTGCCCTGCTCTCTTTGCCTGATCTGTTTTTGAAACGAAAATGCTGAGGAATGTGGCATGGATTTTTTGGGAAAGTGGTATAAGGTTCAGTACTTATAAGGTTCAGTTATTGCAGTACTTGTTCTAGTTTGTACTTAAAGTGTTTGCACCACCCAATGGATGGCGTTTGGGAGGATAGCTTTTGAAAACTGTGCTTTTGGGATTGTTGACTCGATGGTTGGGCCCGCTCAGGGACTGTTTGGGATGAAAGCATTGAATACTGTTTCCACATCCAGAACGTTTGACACTCTCTGAACGCTGAGAATCCAGGAGGCAATGTACATAACGTGACAGGAAAAAATGCTGCTGTGCGCATCGGGCATCTGCGCCGCCAGTCAGGATTTCTGGCTGAAAGTTTGTTTCGGGTTCCAAGGTTGCCAGACAGGGTGGGTGCCACCTGGGAGTTTTGGTCACACAGCACACGTGAGGACTTGTATGGACACAGGCATGCTCACTCCCTCGAGACAGGGTTGTCCTCCTGCCATCATTCGACAGCTGGCTCAACTGCAATGACGAAAGGGTGGGCAAAGCATCGAAGAAGAGCATATGGCAAAGCGAGGCTGCCATCCACACAAGTGTGGCACAATGCAGACCATTGAGTCAACAGCCCTCATCAACACAATGGCCAACTTGCGCGATTTTCGCCAAAACACAAGAAATTGGTGCCTTTCAATCCAGAGGGCAGCGTCAACCCATCTCGAACACACAACTCGCCTCCATAAAGCATCGTCCTGCTCTACTATCATCCAGGTCCAACACCTTTTTCAACGCTGCCCTGATCTTCTACAGTGGTAGTCCTGCCAATCGACTGTGGCACATAGTCCGTGCGATGGACCGGAGCAACGGTGGGGAATGGACTCAGCACAGTGAGTGGCTCTGGCGGCGGGACCCACAAGCAAGTGGCCCAATTCCCCAACTGCCCCATTATCCTTAAGATTGAAAAGAAATCGAATGCACTGCGCTGCATGGTCACCAACAACTCGCTACTTGAGACCAGAATTGGCAACCCCAGCACAGCCATCAGCGGGACGATCTGTGGAACAATTTTGCCCACAACTTCTGTCCAGTGAGAAGTTCTCATGCTCGACCATCTACTGTTGAGCATCCAGACCCACCAGTGCACAAACGATGATGGTATTAACCTTTGTGACATGTGGCCGCTAGTCGCATCTTCATCTGCATACATCCGATTGTGCCCTTGACAGTGTGAACAGGGTGCTACGAGTTCCAGACTGGGGCGCAAGAACAGCAGGGCGACATCCATTCAAAAGGGATTGGGCACTCACCGCCCTCAGCCCCACCCTCTGCTGCGCAAGCCATGAACTTAGCCAGTAACACGATGACTCAGACGTCCATACTGTTTCATTGAGCGTTGCAATGTCCCGCAATGATACTGCTGTCCATGGTCTGAGGTTTGTTCCAAATGAATTACAGCACTGTTTCCAGCCCCAGCAAAATTGATATTGTGCCCCTGGCAGTGAAAAGTGAGCAGGGATGCCATGAATGACGTTTCTGTGAGATACGCTGCACAGGTGCCCACCCAAGATAGCACTCTGCTGTTGTATTATCTGTGTATTCCTCCCTTGCACCCAAGTACAACATCCTTGTCTATGTTTAGTGTCAGGCAGCCATCACACATTACAGAGAAAATTACAGAGAAAATGCTGAACCAGCACCAAATTTGGCCCAAACATCGAATGCCCTGAATTTTGGGTGAGAAAAGAGACAATGAGCTGGACAGGTGGGATGGTGGATGGCTGGACGGTTGCTGTCAGCGCCTTTCAGGCGCAAGGGCTCCTTTCAGCACACCTTCCAACGGCTTGTGATAATCCACAGCATCATCGAAACAGGGACGACAATTTAAGTGCACCTGTTGGTGCAGAAGCTGGTGGCCTCTTTTTGTCATGTCTTGCAATGATTTTCGACAATCCACAACATCACACAAACAGAAACCAAATTTTAAGCCCATTTACGGCTGCAAGGGCTGGTGGTCTCTGAGCAATGCAATGCCTGAATGTGGGGATTGAGATGCAATCGTGCAGGGTTTGATGTGGCTGGGCAGGGTTGGGGCTTTGGGGAAAACAACAGCAGTGACATCATCCAAGCATGGCACAGCACTTGCCTTGCGACACAAAGCAGTCACCCATGACAACAGGGGACAAAGTCTGCCTAGGCAGCCAAGCAGCCAAGGGAGCATTTCTGAGCATTTCTGCCCAGAGGCCACCGGATTCATTCAAGACCCTCCTGGGGGTGAAAAGCAGGTGGCTTTTTTGAGATTCGACATTTCTGAGCGACGATTGGCCACAAAGGACGGACAAAGCGCTCATTCCCCGAAGGCTTAAGGCACTGGTCTCCAAGGGCACTGTGAATGCGTTGGCGGAATCCATCAGCCAGCACCGTCGTGCGAGGCAGTGCTGAATACGCCTGTCCCCCTCCCCCTCCCTTGCCTGAAACAGTCTTGGCCCCTTGGGTTCTTGACCGTGGAGACAAAAGGCTGCCAGGCAGAGCAGAGCACTGTTTAATTACTGTTTCTCATGCTAGACCTGGGGGTTGCCAGGAACACTATCGGGTTTTGGGCCATTGAGCCAAAAAGCTTCTGGGCCAAGGGCACCCCAATGATCAATTGCTATTTCTCACGCTGGACTTGGGGCTGGATTGATCAAACTGGTTACATTCCTCCCTTCAACCTGAGCAAGGAGAAGGCGCGTTTCAGCGCCAAAATGCAGCGACACAAGCTTTCCCTGTGAGTGCAGCAGTCCTGGTGGACCTGGCAAGTGCTCTGCACCGCATATGCAACTCTTTGGACTGCACCTGCCTTTTCAGGGTCGAGCGGGACCGTGGCAGTGGCTGTTCTCACGCCGTGGAGGATGCTGCAAGCGCACTCGAGGGCGAATAGTAAAGTAGGGGGCAAAAGAGTGGCTGAAACGCTTTGTTCAGAGCTGCTTTGCGACGCAAAACCTCTGTTTAGAATCGCTCTAAAGAGACAAAGAGCGGCTGAAGTTCTTTTTGCGTAGAGGTGATTTGCAACGGAAATCTCCTGTTTAGGATGGCCTTGCAAGGACAAGAGTGGCCGAAACTCTTCGATTAGAATTGCCTTCCAAAGACAACGAGTGGCTGGCCTGATCTCATGGATCGTAGGCCGGACACGCACCCTCGCGATGCGCCGGCGGGCTTTCCTCGCGGCGCTGAAAAGGCGGTGGGCGCGGGCATCCACGGGGGCCGACCGCCAGGGCCTTGTGCTTGTGACGGGTGGGTAGCGGGCAGGCCGGGCGGTGCTGCTCGTCTCTGCGGCAAAAAAGGGTACTACACGTTTGTAGTAGTAGTAGTAGTATAAAAAATGCGAAAAAATCCGGAAAAAGTCCGGAAAATGCAAAAAATCCCCTGGGGCTGACTGCCAGGGCTGTGCGCAGGTCGATGGGGTGGGAGCGCCGCAGGCAGCGTCGAGGTGTGGCTTGTGTCTGCGGAAAAAGGTGAGAGAAAAGCAAGCCGTTGAAATGAAAGCAAGTCGTTGCGAGAAAAGAATAACTTTACGAGAATCAAAGTCGCTGGAGAGGCACCGCTGGACGTAAAAACAACGTGGAAGAAATCGGCGTGGCATCCTCTGCTGAAAGCCTCTTGCGCCTGTGTGGCTTTGAGCTGCTGCGTATTTGCCAGTCATTACATGCGTTGGTCACTTGTACTTCAGTACTAAACATGATTATCTCCAGAAGGTCGCAACTTGGGTTTGGGCCCGCGTGGCCGAATCCCAACGCAGCGACAGAACCAAGAGTGGACACCTAATACTCCGGCGCTCGACGGGTCCAGAAGCACGCACGCCATATGTTGATTTGGCGAGGCTGCGGCCGGCCCCCGGATGGCGAGAAAGTGCCATGTATCCACCGGCTGCGTCCATGCCGCCCCTTCCGATCAAGGATGCGGATTCACCAACCTATACTGGCCTCTTGCGGCAGCCCGTTGGGATCTACGCCTGCAGTTGTCCAGTTGGGCCCCGTTGCTGCAGGCCTTGCGAAATCCCAGAGCGGGATGGTGGTGGTGGCGCGATGGCGCCTTCACAGTGGCCAGCCTGACTACTTCCGCGTGGCCGCCAGCGCTCGCCCGCCCCGCCCTCATCACCTCCGTTTCCACTCCTTTTGCTTCATTTCCAAACAAGAACCTCCGACAGGTGCGTTCACAGGAATGTCCCCGGGGGCTAGTCAGTCAACTCATGGATCCGACAATCCCCCCCCATCCCTTTTCACGCGCGATTCGCACGCGGCCTGGCATCCATGGCGAACACGGGGAATGTGGATGGGCACCACTTTCCGATTGGCGCCAGCCAGAAATTGGGGTGGGTGGGGGCATTGTGGTACCCGCGGCATTGCTCGTGCTGACATTTGGCCAAACCCAAGACGCCACCTCCGTCGAGAAGGGAGCGCCCCCCGCCTGCTGGGCCCCTTGCACCACACGCACTCGGCTGCTGCGATCTTGTCGCGTGCCACTGCACCTGGTGCCTGAGAGGCAGTGTGCATAAAGTTCGCGGTGCGCACGCATGCACAGGCTGCATTGCGTGAAGATGAGCTGACGGGCACCTCGAAGAACGCTGGACGCCTTC